TGACAACGTAATTGAAAAAAAGGTAGCGAAGAAAAAAGTGTCGGAATTAACTGACAATTCGAACGAGTCGAGGGAACGGGAACAACAATGGCCCATAACCGCATTAACGCATTAGAGCGCGCTTCGATTACGTAAAGAAAATTTGCGGCAATTAACTGTGTGATATGCATGCGTTGCGCCTGGCAGAGATTGATAGCACAAAGAGGCATAAGCTGTTCATAATAAGCTGCAATGTATAATGGCAACTGATGGTCAAGTTGAGCGTAACGTAACAAAGCAAGGGCTTAGCGCATCAAGTATACGACACGTTGTACACAGCGCTTCAACTGCATGCGAAAATAAAGTGTTCTCTGTGGATTTACCTTAAACGGCTGCAAATAAACACAGAATTCTCGAAATTTGTACAATCTATTATACAATATATAATTAGTAAGCTGGAAGCTGGCCACTATCAGACTATGCCATGGCCAGGCAATCACAAACATATGCAGCAAAGCTGAGCAGAGAGAATAGTTAATTACAAAATTATAAAAAAGCGTGAGCTGCTCTCTTCCTGCCCTGCGTAAGAGCGAAAGAGCTATGTGCAAAATATGCAACAACGACTCATAACCACATTACGGCTGATTGCCAGCTGCCCAGGCACATTGTACTCTGATTATATAAAGCTGTGGAATTTTGTAATTATCAACATGACAGGAATAGCTTGTTCCTGGCAGAGATTGATAGCACAAAGGGCAGCAAGACTCAAGCTGCTCATTATTTAATTGAATACCAAATAAGCAACAAAAATGTTGCTGATTCCTACGAAAAAAAAAGCCCTAAAGCAAACACAAACACAGAAAACAAGAAGTAAAACATTAAAAGTTGAGACTTAACTCAGAAAATATATTTGATGACCCCTGCTGTCTGCGAGGCACTTCAATTTCATAACGATAAATGAAAAAGAAATTGACTCTCTATGACACCAAAAGCCAAAAATTGGCATCGCAAGCCTATAAATACATCAGCGTGGGCGAGCACCTGATCAGGTGTGTATGGAATGCTCATATGAGTGTTCCGCAGAAAATAAGCTAAGCGCAAAATTTACACTGAATTCAATTAGGTCTCAGTGCATTCGGGTAGTTAGGGAAGTCAGGAAAATAAATAAAATATGGCTAAGCGTAATAAATGAATTTCGCTTCACTCAGCGAATGCTGCGCAAAAACGTTTCATATTTTGGCCGAAAATAAATACAACTGTTGAGCCACTCCAAAGCTGCCGGCCACGAGCCACTTGTCGCCAACAGCGCGCGGGGAAAGCGGCGAATTCCCCACGGAAATGCCGCTCCTAAAAAGCAAGTTGTAATAAAAAACATTTCCGACAAAGCGTAAAGCCAAAACAAAGGTTTTGTGAAAAGTGCAAACCTAAATATACAGCAGCTTGTAAAAACAATTTCAAGTGATCCAAAGCAAAACATAAAACGCTGCCTGACCTCAGTTTGAGTTCAGGTAGTTAGTTGCCTTTATGTGAATACAAAGGAATTATAAAAGCGAAAACTCTGTTGTCTCTGTGCTCTGATGCGATGGCTTGTTGAGTTGCATAAGAAGAATTTAAGACAGCTTTAAGCTAACTCTTAATTAAGTTTAATTTATAAAACTCTGTATGATTTGTGCATTGAGTTGAGAAATGCGAAATTAGAAATTCAATTATTAACTCCATGGTTTGCTTTGAGTAAAAATGGACAAATGCAATTCAAATCTTTACAGGCAGACATTAATGCCAATTCTGAGTAATCAAATGACATATATATATATACTTACATATTTATACATATATTGGCTGTTAGCGACATTTCAATTAAATTTCACTTTGAGCTCGCTGAACACAAATATTTGAGATCGACCAATGCCTATAAATTAATCATTACAAATAAAAGTTTCGGCTGCGATATTAAATTAAATTGGGCTCACAGGTTGTTTGCGCGGTACCACAGACGTGACGGCATTAACATTAACTCCACAGAAATCGAAGGTAACCACAATAAATCAGCGTATTGTTCCTTCTGTTGAACTCCTAAATGCCAAGAGGGACGGATAAATACGAGCAGAGGCTAACTTTAAAGGCCAAGCGACAAATTGTGCTGAAAAGCTTTGGACGAAATGAAATTGAAGACAAGCTGCCATGGCCGAAGCCAAAGAAATGTAAATAAATGAAGAAAAAAACTCAAATTACAAAATGTAACAATTTATTCTGGCATAATATTTCTAATAGCCGGCAAAGAAAGCAAATGCTAACGAATGCAATTATATTTTAATTGGCATTGGAAATCAAATACTACCCAATTGTTACATATCTCCCGTTAGTGCCGAAATCTACTGGTCTGCCAGCCAACTCCATTGCGGTGCCCTGCAACTCTACATTATTATCAGTGTATGACTGCAAATCCTATTTGATTTGAGTACGTATTGCCTTTAATCAGCTCAAATGGAATACGAAAATGAAATACTATAGCTCACACACGGAATGATTTCTGATGGCAATGCAACATGTTGCAATCACAAACATTATGTATTGTGTTACTTCACAGCTCAGGACGGATTATTCCTCGTACACACTCAGTATTTCAGCATCAAGCATCCGCCACGTTGCCATCATGAAATTTTAAAGCAAAATTAAATCAACTACCGAGAGCTAGTTGCTTTCTGTGTGTATAGCACCTTGTAGAGCATTCTTACGTTCCACTTATTCTATACATTTCAATTCAAGTGACGACACTTACGAAATATTCAAAGCCAATGCTTTGACAAGTTGTTTTCATTGTTATTTTTTATTTTTTTATTATCTAGTTGATATTTGCGTTATTTATTTGTCTGACTTTCTATTTTACCGTTAAAGCTCTATGGAATTTCCGCACACACAGCAGCTGGAAGCCAGCAGCCCTTATCAATGAAATAAACAACCCTCAGCCGAGCAGACCTTTGTTCACACTGCATGAACACTGTGGTATCCAGGGACTATGTGTGTAAAGATGTGCGAAATTGACCGAATTTCACGAAATTGAAATTTATGAAAGCAGTTTGTGCTCTGCAGTGCTCAACAACGTAAAGTAAATGCGTGAATACACTCGTATTTATATACACATATACGCATACATCCATGCATGGATATAGACAGATACTTGTATACCAAAATACCTGAAAACATTCATACATACAGACATACATACGTACATACGCATACAAACATTCATACATATATACATACATAAATACATACACACATACATGTATGCATACATACAGACCTACTTAGTAAAGGACATTTTTAACGTCATACATTAAGTCATACATCCATCCATATGCTTGTACATCCAAACATTCATTCCTACGTACATCTATACACACGCACACATCTATACATTCATCATCCATCATTCATATGTATATCCACATACACTCATCCAAGAATTCATACATACATGCATACATCCATACCACATATCACACATCCACACAAATACAGCTGGTCACATGTCTCAATCTAAAAAACTGATTCGGATTTTAAAGTTTATTTTCGCATAGTTTTGACAGCTCCGTCAAATATTTCAAACATCAACATTACATATTTCACAATTGCCGTTCACCACAGTCGAGCCGCCACGCCTCACAATAGTGCTGCGCCCATTGCTGTAGCCCGGACGACTGACAATCACATTGCCATTGGAGAAGCTGCGATACTCCTGCCCATCAATGTACACCGAATCACCATTTGGATTGGGACCTAGTGGAGAACAGAGCTCAAAGATGCTTTGCTTGAATGCATGAATGCAACTGAAACTTACAAGTCAAACAGACGCCATTCACCACCACTGTGCTGGGATATGCTGCAAATTGAGTATACGCCACAGTGACCACAATTAGCATTAATCAAGGCGTAAACATTGTAAATTCTCACCGCTGATTAGAGCCGGCAGCGCCGCCAGCAAGAGTAATCCACACGCCAAGTACTTCATTTCAGCTGCAGCCAACAGATCTACACTTATAGAGCTTATATAGCCATTTTTATAGTATTTACCCAGTGAATCAAATGGAATTTGCATATTGTCCGTGTGTGTATGAACTCAATGTTATCGCTTGCAGTTCAATAGGTGCCGAGCCAATGTGTGAGCTGCTGGATGCACTACTAATCAGAATAGATGCACAGCCGATTAATATAATATAATGTATATAGGAAATATTCATCAACTGATGTACGGAGCAGACAGTTTGGTAGCGTATGCATTTGGGAAAAATCACAAAATTACCCAAGCCTGTATAATATATTTCAAGTAATATATAGATAATCACAAAAAAAGAGAAGGCATTCTGGCACGCCCATAAACACTTTGACATATTAACAACCCTTTTTTGAAATTCAACTGAAAATCCAATTTGCATAATTAACATATTATAGCTGAATGATAATTCCAAAGAAGCCGGCCTCTCCTATAACAATGCAAAACAAAATGCTTTATCATAGACTATGGCCAAATCTATAGCCAATTGTCGTGACTGTCAGAAAACTCATTTCATTTAATGCTCATTCAATGGACTCGACTCGATTCGACTCGAGTCGACCCGCCTCGTAGTGCACATCGATTAGACGCTAGCTGGAACAGACAGAACGGTTTGTTGTAATTGTTCTAACGTCAGCAACGCATCTCAAACAGACTAACGACGCTCAGCGCTTGTGTGAAGTATATTAGCACTTTTATGAACTGCTTATGAAAACAATATTTTCATTAGCTCTTCATAATTGTAGTATATGAGCGAGCATTGAGTAGTCGAGTGCGCCCGTCCAAAACATTCTTTCTGACTTGTTTATATTTAATACTGGGCATTTCCCTCAGTTTGATTAATATATTCGTGTGTCTAGTATATACACATGCATATAGCTCGAACTACCGATAAGATGAACGCTGGCGATTGAGTCGCAAAATAAAAAATCACAGAGAATGTTAACGCTGGCATATAAAAGTCAACAACGCTTATGTCAGCCAGCCAGATCCCTTTGAAACGGTGACATATACGGAACTCGAACAGTTCAGTGGAACAGATACAAAAGCATGAATAATTTTCCAGCGGTGCTTGCGGTTTTCCTGCTGCTCACTGTGGCATTGACAGAGGCCGCTGTGTACATCGGAGGCGGATGTTATGACTGTAAGAGCGGCGACTGCAAAGGGCTGAACACACAAAGTAATCACAAATAACTGAATGGCATTCGCAGGTAATCCGCCCGGTGGTCAAGGGCCAGGCATATATACGGGAAATGGTGGAGGCGGCCGAGGCGGTGGTGGCTACTATAACCCAGGATCTGGAGGCGGCGGCGGTGGCGGACGTCCGGTTTACTCGGGAAACTTTGGACCAAATGGCTATAATGGCGGTGGCCGGAGCTACAGTGGCGGCGGTAGAGGCGGCGGCGGTGGCGGTGGCGGTGGCTACGATGATGGCTTTACGCAAATCATAAGCGGTTAAAAGTAGCATAGTTGTTTAAATATACACTTAGGAAAAAAAACGCAACACAACATTCAAATAGCCACTCTGCACAGACTTCAAGCGCAGTTTCGCAACGGCTGCTTCAACTTTTTCAATTAAAACAAACATTTTTAATGGGGCTTCATGGCGTTCGAATAGCTATCAAAACAAAGCTGCTTGCATGAATTGCAAAAACTAATACGACTTCATTGCGAAAGAAATATTAATTACATTCGATGCAAAGTTCATGCTGTTTATTAATTTGCGCATACGATAGGGAAAACACTGGTTGATTCTTACTGAGAAAGCATCTCAGATTTATGATTGATTTTTTTTAAACACACTGTTATAAGTTCCGCAACATCGCTTGGACCGGCTGCTTCAGCTTCAGCTTTAGCTCTGAATTGTGATTCGTAGGCGATGCTTTCTAAGCTCCTCAGCTGAAATAGGTTTATTAATAAAAGATTTCTCTGGAAAATTGCAGACACTCATATAATTCAATAAGTTAATCATGAAATGTGAATTGAATCGAACAAGTTGTGTCCAAGATCTTTATAGGTATTATATGTGCTTATATAAAAGTCCGCCACTTGACTTCAGAAAAATCCTCTTAAGGGCAAATATAGATATAAAGAGTCTTTGCAGTTCATTTAGTATTACTTCCTCTGTATCTTTTGTGGTGCTTCATGAGTCAGCAAGTGTATTCAACATTCGTTATGCTAAATATTTCATCTCTTTTATTATAAATCTGCAAATATTTCTTTTGAAACTTTTTAATTTGCAATTGCATGAAAAATACTCGCCTGCTTATGGCATTTATGACATTTTTCAATTAAAATTGCAATTAGTTTTTATTTGTTTTGCATTTTCATTAAACTGAAAACAACAAATAAAAAACAATGCAAAGTTTTGGCTATCATTAAATTGAGTCTAATTTAAAAAAAAAAAAAAAAACGTTCTATTTAAACTGATTTCAAGTGTCAAAGTGGAGTCTAAAAAAAATTACTGTGCTTTTCAAGCAAGCTTTCAATCAATTCTAGAGTATGAAACTGACCTAATTTGTATCGATGGCACGGTCCACGTAGCCCCTAATGAAATCGGACCAGCTTTTATGCTGGAGCTTGCAGCATTATTAGCTTTATTAGTGTGATGAAAAAGCAATTAGGTTGCCACTGCGAATCGAGGGCGAATAGTGTATAGGTTAACGATCTATTGACCGTAATCAATACGGTTGCCCATCTAACCGTGAGCCATGAATAGCAAAATTTATAAATAATTCCGATATTGTGTGCTATGGAACTTTAATGCAAATGGCGATAGGGAATCGTCTTGTATACAGCATTGCAGTTTTCCCTTTTAACTTTAAACCTTCAACTAACTAGAACTACTTATGCCTGTATATACATGTTAAAGCTACTAGCATAACAAACAAATCCTGTTCCTAAATGCAAATGAATACCAGGAATGCAACTAGATGATGTATGCATGAAGTCAAATTTCGATGGAAATTTGTAAGATGATTTGATTACATAGTAGATGCCCTTTTAAACAAAGAGTAGCAGAACTTGACTTTCTTTGGCGCTTGAATCAATATTTAACTTAATTCGTCATTTCAGCTTCTCAACTTCACTTAAAAGCTTTTTGTATTTACTGCACTGGGAGGCTCGTAAGCATTATTCAGTTCAATGCAGAAATATTGGGACTGAATGCCAACATTGTGTGGATTTCCCATTTAAGCCTCTCATGTGGGCGTGAGCATTCAAAGGAAACGCAGCATGAATACGAATACTCGAGTTGGTTTAAATGCACTGGCGAGTGAGTGAATATTAAACAAACAAATATTTTTGGCTGCCTGCAGCCTATGCAACATATGTCGCATGCAGAGCACCTGCATTTCACATTTCTCTGATTCAACATGTTGGCACACGCTTTGTGTCAAAGTCGGGGCCTTAACTCCCAGGATGCTCTGTCCTGCTCTTAATGGCAGGCAACACGCGGCAACAAGTTATTGACTCCACAGTAGTAACTAATTGTCTGCTCTCGCCCATTAAGAATACTTAATAAGTCAGCTCATGTAAAATTGAAAATAAAAGACCTGCTCGTTGCTAAACGTTTTCTGCTCTGATTTTGCAGCCGCATGCCAGGCACAAATGCATCCTTTGGCATGCTAATGGGTTTGCAGGCGTGTGGCACAAACTCGCTGTTTGAAGTAACTGAGCAACTAAACGAATATTGATTTTCGTTGAGAGCAGCATGAATAAATTACATTTACTTATAGAATCAGTGACTCTGCTCGGGTTTAGTAACCTGAAACGCACCTAAATTATTACACACGTGCGCTGATATTTGAGGCCGAACTACGCCATTTGCAGTGTTTGCGCCAGCTAAAAGTTTGTTGGATGCTCGGGCAATAGCCCGACAGTATGCTTAGCTAAAAGTTTGCTGTCAGACTGCAAATGGCCTGTGGAATGAATTCAAAACCATGAAGATAAATGAACAGGAGGTAAGTGGACGATAAAGTTCGCAAAGTTCAAACTGAACACGTGACTAATTCTGTCGTATCTGCAGGCGAATCTTAACTTTGTCATTTATATATATTGTATGTACTTACAAAAGCTCTCGGCCTTGTCAATCACTTCGGCACATCACTCATACGTCCCGTGACTTTGGCAGTTGCTGATAGCTGACAAAGTTCATTTCCATTTGCAATAAATCTTGGCTAAATACATTGAAGATGTTTCACAACTAAAGTCAATTTTATTCAATAGACATATACAAGAGATGTAAAGAAACGATTACTGTGCAGCTTAAGAACTAACAAGTGTCGCTGTCCGACCCAGTACCCACCCAGGAGAATCACACACCCATTCCCGAAAAACTCAATGCTATGCATTTACAATTGGACAACAACAACCACAACCAGCCACAGACCAAGGCCAATTTACTGCCGGATGATGTAGGGCAGGTAACGCTGCGCCATTACAAATGCAACGGGCAATAGACTGATCCAGATAAGGGAGACGCGTGCGGCATGGGCGCACATGTCCTCCAAATGGCGGCAGTTGCTGAAGTGCTTCTCGTCTGACAACATTTTGGCGGTTTCGCGTGCGAACTTGGCCGAGTTCTTGTAGCACTTGTATCGGGCGCTGTTGTAAATGCAGTTCTCGTATGCGAAACGTGCGCTGCAGGTAAATGATAAGCAATTAGTCATCCACAGGCAACACAAGCTCAATTAACCTACCAACAAAACTCCATGAATTTGTCGGTAACGTTGCGCTTGTCGTCATGCAAATCGTCGGTGAGTATGTTCTCGAAGTCGGTGGTGCAGCTTATCCAATCCACCTGTATATACGTAAAGCAATCCTTGTGCCGCAAATAATCTGCAGGGAACGCGAGACAAGATGCAAAGTAAAAGTCAAGATTACCATTCTACTTGATCTATATAGATAATAAATAGTAATTATTTGTGCTAGAAATATTTTTTTAAATGCCTTTGGTAAATAATTTCTTAAAACACATAAGTTTATTTTTATTTTTTTATTTATTTGTTTTTGATTATTTATTTATTTAATTATTTATTTT